TGAACGAGATATGCAACGGCATCCAGTGTTGACCGCGAGGAGCGATGTGCAAATTGATATATGTCGTTTTCGTCACACTCAGTGGCAACCCACGGTAATAAGCATCTATCAAATAATTTGAGCATGACTGACGTGCAGGCGATGGGACAGTATTTCCCAGGTTCCTTTTTTGGAACGGGAGTTATCTTGACCAGTCTCCAAATATCAGGAATTTTTCCACTTATGAGATAGTCATTGAATATTTTTGACAATGGGTCTGAAAGNACCCGCACATACTTTGAGTACTACTGGTGATAGTTCATCAGGGCCCGATGCTTTATTCAACTTAGTTTTTAGTAGCTGTTTCAGGACTGTGGCGGGTTCGGTAGTTGGTGTTGGCACAGGGCTGACTAAGTCTGGCAGGGTAGTGCACCGTGAAACTGGACTAAACTCAGAATTTAATCTTTCAATCTCGACAGTTTCCTTTTTGTGTTTACGGCTACTGCCACACAATCGGTTGATAGCTCTCCACATGCCACGACTACTAGAGTTTCCCAGGATAGTATCGATGTACAATTTGTTCAACCGATTTATTTAAGCTTTGATCGAAATTGTTAGCCGCTTGACATGGATTCTTTGTCCTTGTTTATAGGCTTGTTCTTTCCGCCTGCGTAACTGCTTGAATAGCGGTGATGAATGTCTTTATGGATAAAGACCGTTTCTTGTGGACAACACTGGTTAAAATAGAAATTAAGGTAGTCCGTAACATGTTCACAGAGGACAGAAGGGTTCTAATCGGGAAACACCGAAAAATCAGTGGTGGCAATCATGAATAACTTTTCTAGGTTCTCTGTTGAACAGTTTCTTTGACTCACTATCTTGTAAGGCCTTCTTAAAAATGTGTATCGGTTGGTTTTGCTGTGTACAGTGGGACATACTTTTAAGATACAATGTTCTGAATTGCTCAGGCCAGCGCGTTTCTGGACTTAAAAAAATTATGGTCTGTTTGTGAAAACGAAATAAAGCTGTGAATTCAGTCTGGTTGGAAAAAGTACTAAATTGTGTAGACCCAGTTTGGTGAAGAATGTTACATCATGTCTGTTGAAATCACCAACAAATATACATAAAGAGTCACTTCTTTTTGATATTATGTAGGTAGAAAAAATATCAGAAAAGCTATTTACGTCATCAACTGATGTTGTGGGTGACAGGTAAAAGTTTCCAAGAGGGATGGAATGAAACCCACTCAAATAACGGGGCTTACATTCGATGACATGACAACTGATTTTATCTGTTGAGTATTCGTAGATGACAGCAGTTGATTTACTCCAGTTTTCGCTGACGTAACTTGCNCAACCTCGTTTACGGACACTCGCGGGGCGGTCAACCCGATACAAGTTGTATCCATCCAATGTGAACCGATGGAGTAATCGGACTATCGTACTATCTATATAGCAACGTAACATCTTAAATTGAAAAAAATTGTGGCTTATGAATCACGTTGAATTTAGTCCGACCAACAACGGTCATGACGAATGCATCAATCGGTTTGAACATACACTGGTAACAACAGAATCGAACGAACGAATAGATGACTACAGACGTTAATGATACACATTTTTCAATAGAAAATCATGGATAGATTGCGCAACGAACAATCAGTTTGAATATGGGAAGGAATTCAATGTTATAAATATACCCTGTAACAGATACTTCACTCATTTTAGATGATTTTCCTTCTCATTGGTTCGCCTTTATTTTCCTTGAATGGGTTAAAAATGCTGTCATTATTATAGCTAAAACAGTTGTATATTATGGTGGAAGTCATATAATCAATTCTGTGGTTAGCCTAACGTTGCAACGGAATGGAGGAGTATTTGGAATTAATATGGGATAATTGGGTCAGAAAAGGTTCCCCTGATGAGAGGTAGGTAGATTCGGGATAACTAGACACACATAACTGAAAAGGGCTGAATACCGGATGCAGTGTACCGATAATAGGCTGAGGGCGTCATAAAATATTTAAATTTCTGCGATACATACAGGATACGCAGGACGGTAGATTTAAATTCCGTTATAAACAAACAGTTTACAATCATAACTAACGGGATTAACCTACTTTTCATCGATCCGGTTTATTTTGTCACAGAACTGTCGACTGAGGTTGATACTACTCATTAGCACCTACTACTGTTTACCCTGCTATATCGCAGTTCCTGAAACTCACCCACTTTTTCGAATTCCCGATGGGTGCGACATAGCAGGACATTGGCTGTATTTTGGTTATTCGGTAACTGAGTTTGAGTCGTTCAGTTTCCTCAAATCGAGTCTATGGGAAGGGGGGTGGGCTTTGTTGTTTTCCATAAAAACAGAGAATTTTGCGCATACAAGTGTTTGATCAGGGCTGTGACCTGTGCTTCTCATAAATTCGCAATCCTCTACGCACCTTCAAAGTGCAAAGTGCCGTTGCAAAATTGGCAGGAACCCATTCCTACAATTTCGTTCAGTGATGACACTCCAGAAGTAGTCGAAAGCTTTGTCTACCTTGGGAATTGCATAACGGCTGGCGGGGGTGTGGACGAGGTGATCTCCCAACGTTCGAGCAAAGCTAGATTAGCGCTTGCTAATCTGCGGCGTCTCTGGCGCCGGGGCGACGTATCCCTTTCACTGAAGGGACTTGTGTTTTACGCAACGGTACCTACCGTGTTGCTCTATGGTTGCGAGACCCGGCCTCTCCGAGCAGCTCACGTCCAACGACTATCCGTCTTTGACAACCGTTGTCTGCGAAAAATCGCCCGTGTATGATGGGAGAATCGCGTGAATAACGATGGGGTCAGCCGACGTATGCTAGGATCGGATAGTCTGACGTTGAGCAAAATAATTTCACAGCATCGTCTTAGGTGGCTACAGCACGTCCTACGAATGCCTGAGCAACGTCTGCCACACCCTGCACTATTCGCAGACATCGGTCCAGGCTGGAAGAAACAGCGAGGTGGACAGGCTATGACTTGGTGCAGAGGGTTAAAGAGACTGCTCGGATCTGGCTTCCGTTCGGGTTTCCCGGTACCCCGGCTGAGGCCCCAAAGATTCATATTGTCTTTGACTGGAGAGACTGTGGGATATGACATCGAACCGAAGTCAGTGGCGTGAATGCATCCTCTCCTTTGTGCAATCCCAAAAATAAACAAAAAAGCTAAATAGCTTGCAGTAAACAAACAACATTTTTTGATTCCTCGAATTTGACTGTTTTTTTTCTTGCGTTTGTACCCATATTTTTCGTTAACCCATGGCTATTTTGCGCCGTATTTCTAAAGATTTGTAAAGATTGGTGATAAAATGCATATTTATTTATGCATTTTATCCATCGCTAGCTGGTAGCGATTTGATCTGTTTGAGTCCAGAGCCGATCAGACGATAGAGGTCGCCAGGTGGCACTTCGGTCCCATGGCCAGCCTAAAATTTGTGCTTGACAGCAAAATACTTGGATCCGTGCAGACTTGCCGGAGACGGTCGTCGTCGATAATTCTAACACCGAGGCTATTCTGACCTCCATTTGAGGTTTCGTCAGCGTCTAAACTACCTACTTGCGCTTTCAAATCGCCGGTTAGTATCACAATGTCATTTATCGTTTACTATGGTGGAGGTTGGTGAGCTGACGGTAGAACTCGTCTTTCTTGTGTCGGGACTGCAGAATGTGGGTGCGGTGGCGAACACACGCTTCGTAGTGCCGTTAACAGATGCTCTTGCCGATCCTTCGCGACGGATGGCATAGAGTAAATTCTTGATTGGAATGCAGTCGACCAACGCTGTCCCCACGCCAACCTAACCAGTGACCTGTGCGATCCGATCTCCGGAGGAGGAACGAGCTTTTAGAATCCAGAGACGGGCGGTGGTGTCCCGCTGGTATCGTCACCAAATTATCACCCCGTGGATGTTCCAATCTCACCACCACCGCCTGACTTTTCCCATTGTTTGTTGAACGGCAGCCCTTTGATCGGCCGCTTCACCCTTGAAAATTCTATGTATGTATATTAAGTAAAAGGAAGTAAAATGAACAAAGGGTTGAGAGGTGGAAAACCCCATTCAATTCCTTCAGAGGTTTGATTATTAATAGTTGTATTAATATTCATTTTCTTTTTCTTCTGTAGCTTTCCTAAGGTGCTTTGCCGTAGGCGATTTCATTGAAGGCCTCTAGGCTTTTCTGGAGCCCTTACAGAAGTGATCCTTATTGGTCATTTCTATACATACACTCAATGTCTGGTGGTGGTTGTATTCTTCATGTCATTTCGGTTGGATTTCATCATAGAAGAGGCTCTACCGTAAGTTATCATTCTTATTCAAACTTTGGCTTAGGTCGAGGCTGCCTTCCCTCCGATTGGGGATTCTTCAGAATATGGTGATCAGGAAACTATTGAACTTCCATCAAAATGGAAACATCTTGCCTCTTTAGCTTTACCCGATGGGGCCCATAATTACTTGAAAGGTGATTTGTTTTCGCGAAGTGCTCTTTAATCCTCAGATATTATTTATTTCACTCTTCCCTCCATCGAAAAAGATGAGCACGCTGTGTTCGGTGTAGCATCTTATCGTCAAGCGTACTCTACAGTGAGTTTGTGGATTTTATCCTCACTTGTTATTTAGCCTTTCTTCCCGTCTGTAATGCTTTTCCTGAGTTTTGTGCCCAGCCCAGATATCATCTAGTTGATTTTCGACCTTTAATGAGAACAGTGGGTTCTTACGATGACGGTTATTTGTAAAAATGTTCTAATATGGACTACTGTTATAATACTGAGGCGGTTTATTATTTTTGTAATATTTATTTGCTTGAAATTGCAGCTCTTTTCACATAATTGTGAATTCCGCAGTCGCACACTCTAAATATGATCCTTTTCCGTCCTTGGCTTTCTTAGTTATGAGTGAAAAGCTCATCATTTGAGGAAATTAGATGGATGAAGAAAATAAATTGCATGAGCTCAGTCGTTCAGCATTCTCACTTCCATCATTGACCACCTACTAGGAGGGTCTCATTCAACCCAAATTGTAATCTTAAGCTAACCTAACCGATTTCAATCAGTACTGATAGTCTTTTCGCCTCGCATACGGTCGGCCTCCGCTTCCCATCATGACGAGAATGCTCCTTGATGTGGTGTGATGTTCTAAGCACCTCTTTGACCCAACGAGCTAAACAAGATGGCTTTTGTCAACCTGAAGATCTAACCGTGCATGGAAGGTCGACGAGTAGAGACCAGACGAAGTCCAATTTCCTGGTCTTTCAGATTGGGGTTCGACTAGAATTTGCTTCCATTTCGTTTTACTCGCTGCCTTGTTAAAATTGAAGTCTTCAGTTGAGAATCCTGATCCTTCTTCTGCTTAGTGCCTGGACACTCTGGCAGTACTCTTCCATCAAACCTCAATGCATACACAAACTAAAAATCAATCCATACTGCATCGGTCGTCACGTCGGATAGCAGCACGATGCTGTCCGTTGCATTGAGTAGTTTAGGTAGTGATTTGTGGGCTACTGTTCAAATACCTCAACCTTAGTTTATTTTTGGTCTTCCGTACCCAGCCCTCTCCCTTTGCCCCTTCTTCCGACCTGCAATAATCCCTTACGAAAGGTGGATGTCGCTCGCTAATGATCGTTGCCAAATAGCACTGGAAGTAGTTTACCACAAAATCGATTGCGTTTTCTTGTGAACCCTTGTATCTGCGGGCCTTCAACCTGATGACTCTGATGAGGTAGATCAATAAGTTTATCTGATGCGTACAATAAAATCCTTAGGTATCGAACAGACAGACGATGTCATTGGCGTACTCTAAATCGCACAGCTTTTCGCGAGCCACCCATTCACTTCCTACGTTTTGGAGGCCACTTATCGCGTTCTCCGGTATTTCGACTTCGACGATATCAAATAGTAATGCCCAAACAGGGCACCCTTGACGAACACCCGCTCCTGGTTTCGAACGATTTGCTTAGCTTTTCGAATAAGGGAACCCATTAGAAATTCGCGGTCAGCTGAGTCGAAGGCTCCTTTCAGGTCAAGAAACACTGCGATTATTGATCAACGGCGTGGCGTGACGCAGTTCAGGAAGCTGACGCAACGTAAGAATTCGATCAATACGTCCATGGGCAGGCCGTAATCCAGCTTGCTGTTGACGGATCTTGGTTTCTCTTAAAGGAGTCAGACGTCGACCTACGAGAGGCTAGCCCGGTCGGAATCAAATTTGTCCCACGGTGGTTTTCGCACTCGTTGCTTGATCCTTTCTTGAAAATGGGAACAATCAGTAATTCTCCCTAAGATGAAGGAAAGCGCTCCTGCGTTCAAGTGGTCTGCAGTTAATTAGTACGGAACCTTACAAGGTTATCACCCTTGATCTCCAAGATAGTGGGAAAGGACCCCTCCGTTCCTTCTGCCTTTCCTCGCTTCAGAGCTTGATTGCAAGACCGAACTTCTTTTCAAACAGGATCGCGCGACTCTGCCTACACAGCTTTAGTTACAGATGAAGTAACCTGGTTAGTGCCAGGTCAGCTGAACTGTTCGCTGAAGTATTTCACCCAGCGATCAAGCCGTTGTTCCCTATTGTGAATAGCC